ATATTTTTTAAAAAGTGGAACAAAAACCCTTCAAATAAATAATTATGAGGGGTTTGCAGTCATTGCAATGACAAAGGTAAGGGTATGAACATGGAAGGGGGTGCCGGAGAGATGGTGAAGAATGGGATCACTAAAGAAGAGAAAGTCAAGGATCTGAGAGGTCAGAGTATTGGAAGAGTCATCTGTATAGATATTAAAATTGCCAAGAATTAAGATAAGAATAGTGTTGGAGCGAGTGACAATGATCCAGGAGTGAAAATCCTCAAGAAATAAGGCAGAGTAACCAGGGGTTTGGAAGACTACTATAACAAGGAGAGGTAGTGGGTGGTTTAGTCTGATTTTCTGAGACTCAGCCTAGTTATTTCTGTGGACAGGGGTGGCAGAATGGTCTGAATGAGGAGCAAGGATACCTACCCCATTTCCAGACACAGTGGTAAGAAGAATGAGGAAGAAAAGGCAGCCACTTCTTGAGAGGGTTATAGCTGATGTAGTGTCCTCATGGGAGATCCAGGTTTTAGACACCTCAATCTAAACATATCCCAAACTAAATTTCCTCCCTGTTCTTTACTCCACACACTAACTTACTTTTTCTTTAAGGCTCCTAATCCAGTAGCAGTCACTGTCATGTATGGACTAAATTGTGCTTCCCCGGCCCTGCCAATTCATATGTTGAAACTCTAACATCCAATGTGATCGTAATTGGAAGTGAGGACTTTGGGAAGTAGTTAGATTTATGAAGATGGGGTTCTTATGATGGGACTTGCCTGAATAAGAAGAGACCAAAACTCAAACTCTCTCTCTCTGTTTTTCTCTCTGTCTCTGTCTCTTTCTCTGTCTCTCTTTTTCTTTCCTTTTCAAGAACACAGCCAGAAGGCAGCCAAATATAAGCCAGGAAAAGAGTTCTCACCAGAACCCGACCATGCTGGCATCTTGATCTTGGACATCCAGCCTCTATAACGGTGAGAAATAAATATCTGCTCTTGTAACCATACAGTTTATAGTATTTTGTTATGGTAGCCTGAGCAGATAAGACACTATCCCAGGTGACCAAACTAGAAACTTGGTAATAATCCTTTTCCTTCACCCTGAATATTGAATCCAACTATTAATTCGTGTCAGTTTTATCTATAAATAACCACCAAATAAGTTCATTTCTCTCATTTGCCATGGTTATTATGTCATTTATTCATTCAATGTTTATTTGATGTTTACTATCTGTCCAACACTATTAGATGCTAGCTTTCCAAGTCCAACCTATCAGCATCTCTCATCTCTTGAATCTATTTTTCCTCTTTTGCCTCAGTCTATACAAGGAAATAAAAGATACTGCATCTTACAGTATCTCTGATCAGATTCTCTGATCTGTCATTTCTACTAGTAATATTAAGGTCCAAGAAGCCAAGGGCATAATTCTAATTTTTAAGTAAATTTTTCTTTCCCTGGCAGTGGATGCAACAGAGAAAAATCATGTTTATTGTTACTCTTTGTGATGTGATGGAGTGAAGAGATATGGGAAGTAGCAACCAACCTTGGCAGCTGCATTTCTTTTGAAACAGAAACCAGACTGAGGATACAATCACAACTGGTGTTAGTGAGTGGAAACATGATTAGGGGTGGGAGGCAGGAAGAAAAGTGGACTCTGATAATAGATACAGCAGGAAGGGTGGATCACCTTTGGCAAAAGGAAAGGCAAAACAGTGAGGTGTGGGGGAAATGCAGTAAAGTTTTACAGGAAAACTGTATTTTTTTTTCTGTTTATAATATGCTGATTTGAAGTGCCTTAGCATAAAATTTTAGGATGTAAGTTTTCTAGCCTGATTGATGAACTATCTACCTCTTAAGTGTCTTTAGCTGGCAAAAACAGGATGTGGTCATTCACCGAAACAACTTATTTCTCTGTGTTTGTGATCTAAGTTTTTAAACATAAAAAATGATAATAGCCACAATATATGACATTTATTAAGTGTTAACTATGTTAACAACTACTCTGTTTTACATATTTGTTTTATTTAATCCTCACACTGAAGATGATCTTGTGAGGTAAGTTCTGTTATTACTTGTGTTTTACAGATGAGGAAATTGAGACTCAGAGAAGCTGACTTGCTCAAGTACCCTCATCTAGACAAGAGCTGATAACGTGTACTCTTTTCACATAGCAAATCCAGTACTGTTTACTCCAGAATTTACACTCTTTAATGACACTTTCTCCCATCTAATAGTTTTGTTGGATTTTTAAAAAATTAATTGGTTGTTATGATAGTTCTAAGGGAGTTTGAAAATGGTCTGAACATTCGGAGAAGAGTATCATCTCTTTCTTCTTTCCCACGTAGACAAAATGTTCTTGACAAAATATTACATTCAGAATTTTGGTCCAAATGTCAGATGCTATAATGTTATGTACAAACCTACTAAAATTTAATTTTAGAGTGCTTGGTAGAAAACACAAAAATTTCATTTAACAATGAACAACAAACCAATAACATAAACCATTTAGATAAAATAAACTGTTAGAACATTTTTTGATTTTAGTACTTGGATAGAAATCTTGCCCAAATCATACAGAGCTGAAAGGCAATGTTTCACTGACTATATGGAACACATAGGTGGTGTAATATACATTCTTAATTATAGTAGGAAAGTGCTTAATCTGCTATAGGAATCTCATCAGGGCAAGGGGAAGAAGTTGTGGTAGGGTTTTCAAGCTACAGCCAGAGGTAACTGGGGAAATCACAGACTCATTTAATCTTTAGAATGACACTTCATCATCTATAAATGAGATACCATTGATAAAGAACAGTGCTTTTAAAAGTTACTCAACATTTTTCATCCTTCTCAATTTTTGCACCCCCTTCCACTATCTTCTATTAAACTTCTAGAGATCAGCAGAACACATCTTAAAGCAAAGCAAAGCAAAAACCTGGACCAGATAATACTCAAGATTCTTCCAGAAAATCTTTTATTTGTATCAGTGTCATTAGATAAGCTTACATCTAAAAGATTCCATCTGATGAAATTCTGGAATTGTTTTCAAAAAAGCTTGCCAAATTGAAAAGCATTGAATAAGATTAGACATAGTTATTTTATTTTATTTTGTTTTTATTTATTTATTCTAAAAATTTAATTAATTTTTTTTTCATCACCTTTTAGCCCCTCTATGCCCTCTACCACCTCCACCCATCCCCTCCACTCCCACAATCACCACACTGTTGTTCATAGACATAGCTATTTTAAAGGATTGGAATCTTAACTCTGTCATTCACTGCCTATGTGACCTTGGACAAAGTTAGTTAGTTGCTCTTTGCTTTAGTTTCTGTATCCATAAAATATGGTTACTAATAAACCACTTAGCACAGTGCATGCCATATAGTAAATAATAAATAATTAGTTATTTTAACCTGAAAGTTATTATTTAATGCAATATTTGCTCATCCAATGTATACTTTTCTAATTTCTGTTTAGATTACCACCCAAATATGGGAAATCTATGAAGATAAATACCCAGGTCAACACCAACCACTGGTTACAGTGTGATTAGATTGAATGAACAGTTTAGAAAAAAGAAACACTTCAGTTACCCTATGAAAAGACATTACCTCTGGTTTGGAATTGGTAAATGTAAAAGGCCAGTTAGAAAAATTAAGGCTTATTTATATCATGTCTGAGCAGTCACATATTTTGCTAGAATCCAGAGATAAGACAAGTAGTTCTTATACCTCATGGCCCAGTAAACACTTATTTGGATTACTTTGCAATGCAAGAATTCAAGGGTCTCTCTCTGCTACAATTTTGAAAAGGCAGGTTGATTATGTCGTTGGTGTATATATGTCACTCGTTGTTAAATATTTAAAAATAATTAGAAAAATATTACTTTGGCTAACTGAAGTTTAAGCTAACATTTGGTAAGCATACCTTATTCTATATCTTTGTATGCCACCAAGAGGCTATATATAGTTTTAGAGGCAAGTTACTTATACTTTATTGCCTTAGTTTACTTATCTAGAAATGATGAGGACAATATTACTATAATGATGAGCACTACTACCACTATTACTACTGATCTACTACTACTACTACTACATCTCTTAAGTTGTTGTTAGCACCAAATAAGACAATATATGTAAATTGTTTTAAAAACACCAGGTATGATATAAGAGTTTGTTGTTATTGTTATCATCTTGAATACTTCCAATAGTCAATGAAAGTAGAGAGAAAAAATAGTTAATATAAGCAAGGATTTAGGAAATTATGTAATTTCTATTTGGAATAACCCATGCACAATTATTTATCTTGATGAGCTAATTTAGAAACACATGTTCCTTTCTCCTGCTTTAGGGGTTTTCCAAAGGGCTTTTCTGAGAAGTTAAGGCAAAAAAACACCACCACCAAGGCAGACCATAAAGAGGAAACATAACATTCTAAAATGCTTCCTTCTCACGTAACAGGCACACAAACTGTTCGCTTTTTTCTTCTTTAATATCCATGTGACCCTGTTGTGATGTTTGTCCATTGTGGGAGAATTTTAGAAAGCTCTGTCTGCGTTATGTGTGGGAATGGGGTTCTCAGGCTAGCCTTGAACCTCTTCTCCCATTTAGGCCTTCCGAAACCTATTGCATAAAACACAGATTGTGAGAGCTGTAAAACCCTTAAGGATCATTTTGCAGCCTTTCATTGCATAGATGGAGAAACAAAAGTTGACAGGGAGGAAGGGATTTGTCCAAGGTTACATAGGAAACCACTAAGAATACAATTTAGTTGTTCTGACTACCAACCAGTCTAGTGTTCCTTCCACCGTATCTCCTTGCCTCTTCCAAGTGAGATGTTTTCCTACTGTTATCTAAGAACAACCAAACACCCAGGCATCCTTCTAGGACTCAGAATAGAAATATGATTTCAAAATTATTTCCTATCTCTAGCCCAAATGTTGTCTTTTTTATGAAGCTAAGGTCCACTGTCAAGAAATAGTATGTTCTGTATTCTGTTATTAAAGCTAGAAAACTTACCTTGACAAAAAGCTCAATCTCAGGGTCTGCTTGAATGTTGGGTCTCAGGCCTGCCATCTTTCTGTTTTCACTGCCAGTTGTCAGCCCCTGACTTCTCCACCATTCACAGTACTTGTGAATTCTTTTCTTCCAGTTTTATCCAAAGGCTCAAATACAGTTGGTGCTTTAAGAGAATAGTCCAGTTTTTATTGGACTGAGTCAGGGCTGGGGCCAATTTTTCTTCTCAAGAGGTGGGAGGCAGAGAATTCTAGATGCTTGAGAACAACTCTTGAATTTGTTTTCCTTCTTCCTCTTGACCTATCGTTTGAATCAAGGAGGAGCCAAAGGGGTGTGTATAAACTGGCTAGCTAGAAAGATGAGGGTGTTTCCACCGAAGTTTCAATGCCATGAGTCAGCATAGGAGAAACAAACACACACAAACACACACATGCAGTTCTGGCTTCTATATATCAAGTACACCAGATGTTCTCTAAAGCCTCCCTTTGAGTCCTGGGCTCTATGCCCAGAATATGGCCTCTTATTACTCTTCTTGTAACCTGACAGCAGCAAAAAGGGCTTCCAGGAACAGGACCAGAAATGACTTAGGTTTTATCATTGAAAAGGATGTTTATCTAATGATACTGACTAAAAGGAGGTTAAAAAAGTGTACTTCATCAAGTGTCTCCACCCCCAATTCTACTGCTTACACAGCGAGATTTCCCTTCTGGGTTGCAAATTTCACTTCTCTCTTCTTAACCAGGGAATGTTTGCTGGGGTGGTTGAGTCTGGGGGCTTCTTTTGATTGCCCCACCTCATTCTTCATCTTGGAAGTGTGGACTGGGATAGATCACTACTTTTTTTGGCATCTATGTTAGGAATCACAAGCAGTTGTGTATCTACTTCTCAATACTGGGAACAGCAGTAAAATATCCAAACATGACTCAGTGACTGCTGTGTTTCTAGCAGCTGTGTTTTCTGCCTGTCAGGAAGGGGGGGGGG